ATTCATATTAATTCTTGTTTTATAGGAAACCAAGGAATGCGTATTGAGATTTATCGATGATATGGGAAACAACATTGATGAACAAAACGACGTTGCGCTGGTGATCTCAGGGAAGGTACGGTAACGGATGGTTGTGTTCGTTTGATGACAGTACTCTCTAGAGCCTCGAGTACGTGCTCTCCTCAGACCTGAGGCGTATGTTCTTGGATTTAGCCGTTTCTTGTCGCGTCGTCATATGCTGCAGGTGAGAATGACGATCGTGGTAAAAGTTTGCTTTACATCCAGCATTAAAATACATGACATTCAATGACAAATAGAGAAGTGAACACAGCCTGATACAAAACGTTTATCAGGATGTTTCGATGAACTCCCCAACAGACGATTCGGTTTGTATCTCACGTTTTTTTACAAGCCCATTCTGATCCCAGTTAGTTTCAGTTTACACCCTTTGTGCACTGCCATGTAAAAAGTTTCTAACCCGCACATCGAAACAGGCTAAAGGTGTTACCTCATGAAATGTCTCTTATTTTTTTGTTGTGTCTAATGCAGCGCCGTCTTGTATTTCCAATATAACAACTCCAATCTGAATACGAATTTACTACTCAATCTCAATTTGTTACCTGTTATTTGTATGTTGAAAACGTGACTTCCAAAGGAAATTTGTTACCTGGGAATATTTCTGCAGGTTTTAAAGTTTGTTAAACGTTCAGAGCATTAGTGTATTATTGAATGTGTGTAATATGGAATAAAGAAATACCAATTATTATGAATCACGAGCAAGAACCCCAACCGATGACAGAAGCGCTGGCGAGCGAACTATGTGCTGCGACAAATTTAGTACAGCTGTTCTTCTTTTCGATGCTAGCGTTGTCGAATGTCCGTTTCTAGGACTGAGAGGGAGGCCAAAATTGTTAGGTTTCCGGTGATTTGCTGATTGCAAAAGATTAAATAGGCGCTCGAATTGAGGAATAACCTTTAGTGACTTCAACGTACAGGCAAGAAACGATATTATCCTTCTAGCGTCCTTTCTTTTATTTCTTCCTGAAAATTAATTTTTGGATGAACTTTGCTGTTTTCGCTGATTTGTTTTTTCAGATGAGTTCCATTTTACAGAATTTATTTCATTTTTAAGATGTATTTGCTGTGCTCTTCTGCGGCAGTTTGTACTCGTTGTAGAACAGTAGACTGCACTATGCTTGCGTACTTATATTCTATTCTATTTGTTGGATGATTTGTCCTTCTGGGTCTCTTCTTCCCTCGACCTAAAATGGCAAGAGCGCTGTGGGACTTGCGAGGCTCTGGGGTAAGACTAATCATAGAGTCTTAAGCCTATTATTCGGACCTGCTTTACAGTTATTGAATCACTGAAATTAAGATCGTACTGGATTCATTGATTTTTTGCTAATTTATTAAACTAATAATAAAAAATTTATTTAGATTGAATTGGCTTGATCTTACGGCTAGAATAGTAGATTACATTAAAGTTTTAATTGACTTGAAATACGATTCAGCAGGGCAGTCACTCAACAGGATTGGGTTTCGACTATACCTGATTTGCTAGAAATCACTTACGAAGACTTTCATCTTAGCCGAAATCCGATGCCATTTAATGGCTACCTTTGCATTTCGTACATTATGATAATTGAAACATGCTTTAACATTCTAAAATCTTGAACTTGAAGCCGTTGCCTGTATGTCATAGAAATTCCTTTCACTGAACATGTTTCAAGTTGAAACAGTATGGGCGTTTTAAGAAAATTTTGATCAAGTGAAAAGATATTCTGTTCGATTCTCGAAGAACTCCATTTTAGTCTGTTCTAACCTCTGGTTGGAATAGATTCAGGTCCTGCATTCGTGATGATCCCACGATCTCAGGGTTCTTTGTTGAGGTTATCATTAAAATTTTGGTTTTTTTCTACGTCACGTCTTATCTCTTAGAATATTATCATCATATTCTTTTACAGCTAATTGTCCTGAGTGATTTTCGAAGTTATATAAAAATTAAATGAATGCGATTTTGCTGCCTCTTCATCTTTGTTAAAGCTACTCATTTGCTTGCATGTCTTGGCATGATATGTAACTTTCTACTTGCTGTTTTACCGTGATTGTAGGGTGACTCCTCTACAGAAGGCGGAAGTTGTTGATTTAGTTAGACAATCGGTTGGGGCTATCACCTTAGCGATTGGCGACGGTGCAAAGTGAGTTGCCATTTTTTGTTTCGTCTAGTGTTCGATTTCGAATTTTTTAGCGATGTTGCGATGATTCAAGCGGCTCACGTTGGCGTCGGTATAAGTGGGCTCGAAGGCTTGCAAGCTGCGTGCGCTTCGGACTACTCTATCGCTCAGGTAAGTTTTTTTCATGGCCGTCACTGTCGACCTATTTTTTTTAAAGCGCTTTATGCTTTTGCTTCAGTTTCAGTACCTGGCTCGTCTGCTGTTCGTCCATGGCGCGTGGAGTTTCCACCGGACGGTTAAATTGATCTTGTACTGTTTCCACAAAAATATCTGCCTGTACATCATTGAGGTTAGGCGTTTCATCTTTGTGCTTATTCTTCCAGTTCTGTCTCTTCTTACAGCTGTGGTTCGCGCTGCTCAGCGCGTGGTCAGGTCAGACATTGTTCGAGCGCTGGTG